TTGACCCCCAGCTTCGACATCCCAACTCGTTTTCCAATTTATGCAGCCATAAAACTGTGTGGGAGAGACACATCAGGCGAACTTACTATGTTGAGGAATCGCATGATTGTCTCCAGTAGCAGACATTGTATTGCTCCTCGCAGAAATATCTGCTGCGTTCTTAACACTGATGTCAGAAGATCCCTGCAAACGTTGAATTTAAGTCAGCTACAAAGTTCAAATAGGTTTATGTGTTTCGGCTCAATAGATATAATCCTATGTTAAAGTCTGTTGGCTAAACCAAATGGGCTTTCTGGAAACCCCAAAATTTAATATTTGGTGTTACAATGCTATTATTTTGTCTACAATTAAATTACTAGCAGGAGGGATAGGATGATAAACGCACAAATCTCTCAATCTATCCCACACACTACATAGCATATATAAACGTGCAACAAACACAGGAAATCAAAGAAATACACACTATACCGGAGCAGAGGTACTACGTCGGAGCCCCACACATCCATGCAACAGTACTCCTGGTCAACTCCTGCTGTCTCTGTAGGGTATCCGTCCAACGACGAAGCCGTCATCATGTCGCCGACCGTTTCCCGAGCAGCTGCTGAGGTAGCGACTGCAGCTAGCGCATGTGTGACGTACAGGAGGGGCGGTGCGCACCAGTTCTGCTTGCAGATGCCCCTCAGAAGCTCTGTAAAAAACTTCCCTGAAGGAAATCCTTTTTTTATTAATTGACTGACGGTTTTAGTAGGACGATAGAAACCAAAAATTTGTCAATGTGAGAACTTAGGAATATCGAACTCGACTCGAATCAACTCAATCATATCGAAATCAACTCGAATGATTTGATTGTCAATTTTTACAGACTCTGTCATCTGCTACAAACTAACAATTTCTCACTTTTTGCGGGAAGTTGGGAGAGCTCTGAACTTTGATCCAATCGCACGAAAAAGTCTGCTAGACTTTTTGCGAGCGCAGGTAATTCAGCAGTTTGTTCGAGAAATTGCGGTATGCCATCTTCTGCTGGTCTGTAACATGGAATATACAATAGATACAATATACGATGGAATATACAATACACAGTACTGACACATACTGCAACATGTGTGCATTTTCTATATCCCATCATTTACCTAGAACGCTGCTTTGAAACCTATGCAAATCAGTAACAGTGATATTTAACTTAAATAATTGGTCACATAAACTAAAGAGAAGGTTTATTATACCGAATACAATAATTTGTCTACCTAACCTTCCCTAATGACATACCTACTATACAGTGCCGAGTCATTCAAAACGTGCAGCAAAACACTACAGATGAACTGGAAATGTAAATAAATGAAAGTGTCAATGACACTGTAGCTCACCACAAAAAAGGACACAAATGAGTGAGTGAGAAGAAGTCAGTTTTAATTGAGCAACCATCGACGTACATTATAGAAACGAAGAGTATATATGGGGACGGGAACTCCCATTATATATACTCTTGATAATTATGTGTATGTTTTTATTTGAAAATAAATGTTTGAGATGTGAAAGTTCTGAGATGTGGGCGAGTGTGCGTACCACTAAATGACGCCATTTTAACGTTAATAATATTCAGATTTTAGGCACTCCCTAAAAGCGGAGCTCCCGATGTGTAACGTGTAAGATGAGAGGATACGCTTATTCCACGTAGCTGCTATATACCACGTGACAATGGTTGTTTCCCTGCCCATAACACAACTTTTGTCAAGGTTATTGTTGCATGAATGTTTACTTCGTATGAGTTTTTTCTACGGCGTAGCACTCACGGTTGGCATCTGTATATCGCAATAATAATTTATAAACCAAAATGAATCACAATTTGTGACGGTAGATGGCGCTATATGCGCTTTGATATTTCTTAGCGATGGCGTTCGAAATAAATAGGTTATGCTGCGTTCCGACATGTTTTGTAAAACTTTACTCTTATATAGACGTTTTATCGGCAGGGTGGAGAGGAAATACCAATTTTGCATTCAAGATATTGTCAATGAAATCTTGTAAAACGAACCAGATGAGTGTGACACCACAGACTGTTTGTTATCTGCGTGTCTATATAATATGCTATATAATTACAACAAAACTGACCTAATTTGCATAATTTTTTTTTTAATATCAAAACCCCTAGCCCTTATTCATTCACATACCAAAAATGAGCAAAATCCGTTGAACCTGAACTGACTAATGGCAATTCCCATTTTTGCCAAAAAATTGCCGTCGCTCGAAAGTACGTCAACTGGCGTGCTCCAAAATAGGACGTTCAATATGAGAGCATAGCAGTAACAACTATACCCAATTTCAAACATGTGGGTCAAACGGTTCCTGAGTTATCGTTGACCGTAGCCAAATGTTGACGGAAGGATGGACGAACGGACGGACGGACGTACGACGGACGACGACCCATGGCAATAGCTCAGCTTGACGATGTCAAGGTGAGCTAAAAACGTGCATTATCATGTATATATTCTTTCTGGTATTGCATCGTGTAAAGTGCAGCTCACATACGCAAGAGTGTTGTGAAATATGCTCTACCATAAGAAGCATACCTTTAGGTCGAATTTCACCCGGTATGTGTGCTATATGTGCATCAAAAACTGTAAAAAATACACGATGAATCCACATCAACATTATACCTCTACTCCTCCGTTCTGAAGCAACGGGCAACGAGTCAAATCCAGAGAGAGAAATTCAAGAACGCCCCACCGAACCACGAATTTGCTGTCGTGCTGGAACACTCTATGAAACAGAGTCGTCATCCACGATGTGTGAAGGTAGACTTGCTCATCTCCACGCTGCACCGTTGCCACGGTGATATTCTCTAACCTGCCCATCACTGGTTTTACCATGTGTACCTGGAGATAATTATAAATGTTACGGCCACGGACCACATGGTATGTTCCCACTAACATCAAAGACAGATAAGACAGATGTTTTAAGTGTAAAAATATTATACCAAGATAATGTAAACCTGCGTGTTATCGATAGGCTAATTGTGTTAATTACAAGATTTCAGTGTATTCCCGCACACACACACACACACACACACACACACACACACACACACACACACACACACACACACACACAAACACGCAGACACGCACGCACGCATACATACACGCACACACACACACACACACACATGCACACCTCTCTCTCTTTCTCTCTCTCTCTCTCTCTCTCTCTCTCTCTCTCTCTCTCACTCTCTCTCTTCCCCTCTCTCTCTCTCTCTCTCTCTCTCTCTCTCTCTCTCTCTCTCTCTTCCTCTCTTTTGTGCTCTCTCTCTCTCTCTCACTCTCTTCCCCTCGCTCTCTCTCTCCCTCTCTCTCGATTTCTCTCTTTCTCGAGGCGGTAGCGCTGCCGGACGAGGCTGTGCGACTGATTGTCTATACAGATGTCTGATTGTCTATCAAACTGATTGTCTGATGGTCTTCTAAGACCGTTTCGTGGAGGTAGCAAGGCGGTAACGTTTTTATATAACTTCACATAAATGTTTATACTATATGTTAATTCGGGTGGCACTCCGGCAGCCCATGTTTATACTATATGTTGTATACTATACTACTATACTATATGATGTATATACATCATATGCCGCTGCGGGTTTCCCAGCAGCGGCCAGCGATGGTAGAAAATTATGAAAAATTGCTCTAAAAAGCTGCTTGTCCGGCGGACAAGCTATCTGACAGATCCACTTGTCCTCCGTGGAAATGGACAAGTACGGACAAACGGATAGCCCTTATTTCGAACACTGGGATGGTATCAGAAACCTTCTCGAAGAAATGTTTGTTGGGATCGTTATGAAAGTTGCCACGAGATGGCGCGTATGTTTGAATGTCTTAAGATTAAAGATGGAAGCTTCCATCGTACGTAGTATAGCAACAACTATTTGCAAGACAGAATAGGTAAGCACTCATCCATTTACCTACGCAAGCCTACAGACTCAAATAGAGAGCTGCCACCTGTAACCAATTAACGCAGGCAAAAACTACACCGTACTATTACCACCACATGCACTGGCAGTGGCCACTGGCGGTGGCATAAGTTACATGTAACACACTGACAGTACAGAATGCCATGGAAATTATACGATTTAAGGAGCATAAACCTTCTTCAACCAAATTTAGTTTTTGAAATTTCACTGGGACATTGTAGCCTCATACATCCAGGCATGTATAGATTCTACTAGCAAACCCGGCAGTCAAATTCTTTCAAACAGTAAACAAATCCATGTTTAACCCTCCTCTAGAGGGTCAAAAGGTTATCCGACACTTACTCTTTGCATGTCAGCGGAAAGTACATTTCATGGTCCTTTCAATAAAGCCATAAAAACGCTAGGTCACTGCTGAAACAAAAAAGTTTTTCAATGGCTCTGTCAGACCATGTCCTCAGAAAATGTCTAAAATCTGCCCTGTGCCCCATTGACCTTTGACCTGTGACCTCCAATTTCGGCACAGTGATGGCTTTTCTTACCATGCTAAGCGTATACACCGAACTATCATGAGCCTAGTCCGCCGTTTAGCATTGTGGCCGCAATTCTGGCATTTCGCCCTATACGCTTAAAGTTAAGCGAGGGCAATTTTCCCCCTTCTTTTACACCTCGTTGACCCTGTTGACGCTTTGACGCCCCAGCTTTCGACATCCCAACTCGTTTTCCGAATTTATGGCAGGCCATAAAACTGTGTGGGAGAGACCAGTTCAGTTGAACTTACTACCTCGAGAATCGCGATGATTGTCTCCAGTATAGCAGACATTGTAATTGCACCTCTCGGAATATTGCTGCGTTCTTAACAGCTGATGTCTAGAAGATTCCCTGCAAACGTTGAATCTTAAGAGGCTACAAAGTTCAAGATAGGGTTTGATGGTGTTTCGCTCAATAGATATATCCTAGATGTTAAAGTCTGTTGGTAAACCAATGGGCTTTCTGGAAACCGTCCCAAATTTCATATTTGGTGTACAATGCTATTATTGTCTAACAATTAAGATTACTAGGCAGAGGAGATAGGGATGATAAACGCACAAATCGCTCAATCTATCCCACACATACATAGGCATATATAAACAGCAGCAAACACAGGAAATCAAAAGAAATACCACAGCTATAACCGGAGCGAGTACTAACGGTCGGTGGAGCCCCGACACATACCATGGCAACAGTACTGCTGGTCAACTCCGCTGTCTCTGTAGGTATCCCGTCCTAAGACGAAGCGTCATCCCTGTCGCCGAGAACACGTTTCCCGGAGACTGCTGAGGTAGCGAACTGCAGCTAGCGCCTGTGGTGACGTCAGGGGCGTGGCGCACAGCAGTTCCTCTTGCTTGCAGATATGCCCGCTCAGAAGCTCTGTAAAAACTTCCTGAAGGAAATCCTTTTTTTTATTAATTGACTGATCGGTTTAAGGTAGGACGATAAGAAACGAAAATTGTCAATGGTGAGAACTTAGGGAATATCGACTCGATGTCGATCAACTCATCATACGAATAACTCGATTGATTTGATTGTCAATTTTACA